AGGTTTGCCAAACCCCATCTCTGTGCAGTGAGGGTTGGCAGTGAGTGCTGGGAGCTGATGGTCTGCTCCACAGTGAGCAATGGGCCAGCAGGTACTGGTCCAAACTGGTGGATTTCTGTCTTTGACATTGGCCACCGTCATCTCTGCATGCTATGGGCTCATCTATCTAAAAAAAATAAAATAAAAAAGTGGGAATTGAGAAAATTACCACAGCTCTGTCAACAGGAGCATGTTATGGGTGCAATGATTGACCTTCTGCATATCCTTCCACAGTTTATCTCAATCCTGACTATTGTTTTTGCCCTCCGAGGAGCTATTTTGCTTGGTGCTGGCTGTATTTCAAGAAAAAGAGGGTAAAAAAGAAAAAAAAAGAGATAAATTTCAAAATATTACATGGAGCAATGGCAAGAAATAATCCTGGTTTTTGGAAAAACGCTTCAGGAGCTGTTGTGGATGCTCCTTTGGTCTCTGCTGCTGTTTGACACAAGTACAGACTGCCCAAACTATGTGCAGCAGTAGGACTAAAACAGTTCCTGTATTCAAAGCTTCTCTAGCTTAAAGTTTTATTAGAAAAGGTCTGTTGGGCTCTGCTTGCAAGCCCATACATCCCACACCGAGCTGGCTGTGAGGTCTGATACCATCTCAGTAATTAAGTGCCAGCATCCTCCAGCACAGTGGGTTTAAAAAGGCTGTCAGCAGCTTAAATGCCGCCTGATATTAAATTTATCAGTCTAACTTTTCAGCATTCTGCAGCTGACCCCCAGGAACAATGACCATGGCAAGTTATTTGTAGATGGTTCCTGCTGCACCCTCGCTGCTTGGCTGCTTTAATTGCTGATCTCTAATCTTCCTCTAAAAGGTGGCAGTGCAGGAGAAGAAAGGCAGCACTACACTTGCAGCAGGTTTTTTGCCCAGCTGCCATCAGTCCATTCTCTGGGAGATTTTTGATTTTCCAGTGCATCAGGCTGTGCTGGGCCCCCAGGCCCCCTGTGCAGTGGTCAGTGCACAGAACCTTTGCAACACTTCCAGGTGTGGTGATTCCATCACTTCCCTGGGCAGCCTGTTCCAATCCTGCCCTTTCAGTGAAAAACTTGCTCCTAATATCTAATTACAGCTCCTCATACTCCCCCAAAAATGCAAATAATGGTGTGGATTTATCCCTCTCTGCCTTATTTTCTCCCATTGTAAGTGGAGGCTAATGATATGCTCCTTTTTTAAATCTCTTTGGGATCCTTGGATGAAAAGCACTATGTAATTATTAAAATGCAGCTTTTATGGTGCTGCCTTTAGAAGGAAGGGGAAAAATATATTCACTTGGCAAAATATTGTGTTGTAGATGCAGCTTTGGAAATCTGACTTTCATTGTTAAAGCTAAAATTAAAAAGGACTGTTCCACTGTAGAGTGTCATACTAAAACCAGGCCTGAGTTGAGGCTGCATAGAAGATTTGTGTGCCACTGGAAATGTATAAAAAGAAAGAAGAGGAAATTGAAACAAAAGAAGGGCTGGTCAAAAACAGAGTTAAGTAAAGCCAGTGATGGCTGTGAGTGCCACTTGTGTCTTTGGGACTCAGAGTTGCTTAGGCAATGTAACATCAAGTTCCCAGCAGTGTGGATGCTTCTGGCCACATCATTTCCATGGCCATTAAGTTCAGATGTTTGTCTGTTTCCTGAGATGAAAGGAGTGAGAGCTCTCTCAAAAAAAGAAGCCTGCAAATTCTAAAGCAGCTGTGCTGCATGCAATTTGCCTGGGAATTTTACCTCAAAATACCATTTTTACCTACTTTGAACAAAGCAGAGGCTGATATGAATGCCTCATTGTTTTGTCTCAAGATTGTTTTCCCAGAAAATATCTTTCAAAATATTTATTTTTTTGGTAAATACATGTGTATAATTATAGATAAAGGCTAATTTTTGTAGCTGAGTTTTGTGCTGTCAAGTGCAAGCTGAGTGGTTTAATACCAAAATGGGACTTCACATCTAAATCATGCCTATGTGCTTTTTATGTTTTTTACAATAGATTCAGTAGCTAATCATCACTAAATTGTCTTTTCTAAATAACAAGCCATACTAGATAGTCTAATGGCTTACTTGGAAACTGGGAAGCAAAAATGATACCACAGTGAGTCAAGACTGTAATACTGAAGTTAAAAAGAAGACAAAAAATAATGCCCCATTTGTCTGCCCATGTGCACTCAGCCTTGCTGATGTATTTCCTGATCACCAGAATGCTGGAATGTTTGCAGAATTTGACTAATAAAATTGAAAAATCTTAAAAAAAGTGTAATGAAAACTAGCAAATATGTAATTTTTTGTAGCAACCTCCAAAGTACAGGATGAAATCTTGCTGAAAACACCACAGGGTGTTCTCAATACTCAGACCTTAATTCCAGTAAAAGCCCACCTGTGTGCACAAAATGAAAAGGTTAAACTCATGACATTGTCACCATGATGGGATCATCAAAATCATGGAAAGAAAATGCTGTAGAAGTCAAAGCTTTCATTCTCAAAATCACTGAAAACAGAGAATTTCGGGGGGAAAGTCTGCTTTCCAATGCATTAGGCCAAGTTGGTCATGCTCACCATTTATTTTTTGCTCTGCAATAGCAGATGTGGCAACATCAAACAGCAAACAGCTCTGTCCATCACCCAGCTGGAAGAAAATAATGCACTGACACACACAGCTCAGTATTCATATGGTCAGCCACACGATAACGATTTAAATGATCATTAAGCTGTTATTTTTATAATACAGAATAAAAAAAAAAAAACAAACCCCAAAGAAATTATTTGGTAGGCTTACCAGTTGCCAAACTTTTCAGAATTCTTCTCTGTGTAAATCTTTAGAAGTTCCTGTAAAATTTGTGTTATTTGTTTGCAAGCCCAAATAAAAAATGTTCAACTAAATATGACCCCAATCAGTTAAAACATTTGCAAGTCAGGACTGTGGCCAAAAGTCCTGCTTTTGCCAAAAAAATAGTTAATTTGTATGTAGGTCTACAAGTAGTTAATTTTTAATGCAAACAGGTGTCTCTTTGGTGTTTCAAAACTGTCTTTTATTGGGCAGGAGATAGTGAAAATGGAATAGCTTTGGAGAGCTTGTGGAAACTTGTTTTGGAATTAACAGAGCTGCAATTTTAGCCCTTAGTATTTTTCCAGTGGCCTTACAAGTGGCCTTGTGTGGAGAAGCAAGGGGAAAATGTTGGTTTTACAGTCCTGATGCATTCCAGGTATGAGTTTTCCAAGTGTAAATTGCCTGAATTCACTTCTGGTTGTGGAGTTTGAGAGGGAGCAGTTGTGTTGTGTGGGTCTGGCAGGGAGCACCTGCCTGTGACCTGGCCCATTGACCAGGGGTGAGCATTTGCTTTTTTGTGGCTGTGGATGGAGCTTTGGGAGGAGGAGCAGTTCCAGCTCTGCTCTTGCTGTACATGGACACTCACCAGCCTTACAGCTCAGTTTGAGCCACTTGCTACCAAATTTAATGGGTTGTTCCAGGGTATGAGCATGCTCTGACTTGAGGGTTAATCAGTCACTTAATTTTTAAAGTGTGCTCATCACTTGGGCTTTAATTTGCTTATTTGTTGTGTTAGTAATTTGATGGGAAATGCTTCTTTGAGGTATACATGGTTATTTGTGTAAAGAGCTGCTGCACTGACCCCTCAGGACAGCACTCCTCACTTTGTAAATAGGAATTTGCAGTACACGAGCTATAGATTTAAATGAGCAAAGACAAACTGCTCTTGCCTCTCTTGAAATGATTAAGTATCTTGGCTTTGTTTTATAGTATTCCTATATACAAACTAGGTCCTGACAAACTTCTGAAAGAATGGGGTTGGATTCTTCCAGTCTTTGAGACATCCAAATGCTTTAAATATCATCTTAAAAGGTACTGTGTTGTTAAAGTGGAAGCCACAGCCATGGTGGAAGTATTACTGGGTGAAGCATTCTTTGCTTGTCTAGAGAGATCAGACTGCATTATAAGAATGGTGTTTTCATGTGGCAACGATTCTTTCTTTTGGATTGTTCTAAACTTGAGTCCTAACAGGAAAAATTCCTCCTGCATCACAAGAGAGGCCTTCTCCTAGTTTAACCTCCTCAGCTGGCATAAATCACTGCAGTTCTTTTTAATGTCAGGTCACAGGCTTGGATAAGCATATTTATTCATATCAAGCCACTGAATATTTTGAGGGTCATCTATGACTAACTGAAAGTCTTTAAAAATAGACCAAACATTGGAAAGCTCTTGAAATGTTTTGTGATATAAAGTCTACTTCAAATAAATGGGATAGTCTCGATGGCCTCTTACAGCTGGTTCATTTTAATGGATTTTTATCCTCTTTTCTTTCCTTGATGAAACCAAGTGCAGCTCACCTCTGGCATGAGGTCGGATGAGTGCTTGATGAGATTTGCTAATGTCCCTGGTTATAATAACAGCTCACCTGATGTAAAAGGCCCCCTTTGCACTTATCCCTGCACATCCAGGTCACCTGCCCCTGTGGGGACAGGCTGGGGGAGCCTCTGGGCTCTGACACATCACTGGTGATAATTGATAACACATACATAATTGATAACACATATCAACTACATAAATAATGAGATTTGGTATGTGGGTAAGTGTTGTCTGTTACAAAGCTTCTAACAAAAACGAAGTGATGGGCCACAAGATCCAGTATGGAACAGCTTTTTAGATGAGGCATTCCTTTAATTCAGGATCTTCCCCAGGATTAGAATTCTCTCCTGAGATCACGTTGGTTTGAGGATCTCCACTGGTGGGCTTTCAGTTGTTGAGATTGTGGTGCTCACATTGGGATGCTGCTCAAATAAAGCTTGTGGAAATGGATCTTGGATCTGAGCCTTTTGGGTCTGTGTTTTGCCTTAATAGAAATCAGCACCAGTTCAGCCTATAATTAATTCACATGATTGAGGTGCAAGATAGAAAGGAGACACTTTCTGAGCAGTTTCAGCT